AAGATCAACCGTTTATGACGTTGTGACAAAATATACGGCTTCAGAACAGTCCAACAATAGTTCCAATATGCCGGCGACGAAAAGTCACTCGAAAGAACGCACCGCAAGGATCCCCGCAGTCGTCGAAAGGGCTCAAGCGCTGATTTTGGAGGGCCCAGGGCAATCGTTGCGAAAATTGGCGTCGTTTGTGGATGTAAGCGAGCCAACAATGCGTCGAATTGCCGAGGAGGATCTTCGATACAAATCGTACACACTCAAGATACGACAGATACTCTCAGGCTGGCTCAACTGGCTCTCAGACAATGTCGATATGTTTTGGTCCAAAGAATTCTGGCCTCCTAATAGCCCAGATTTGAATCCCTCGGACTACTACGTATGGAGCGTAGTTGAAAGGGTTACCAACAAGTCCCGACATCCCAATGTGACGTCATTAAGGACTACCATTGAGGCAGCATTCACCGGCATGGACAGCACTGCATTACAGCGTGCGTGCGGACGCTTCAGACTGAGAATAGAGGCCGACATTCAAGCTAATGGCGGATATATTGAATAATTATGGTTGTGACGAACCGCCCCCTCTCGTCACTAGTCCGGGCCGACCATCCGCCTCGTGGCGCTTGCGCCACACGCATACTTCCGTGCGCACCCCCAGGGCGCCGACCGAGCGAGGAAGGGGACTAGCCCCTTCCACCGCGCCTCCCCGCCAGCCACGATCCCGCGGGTATAAAGCGAGCGGCCGGAGCAACCGAGGCATCCAGTCCTGTCTCGGCTCCGATCCCGACACGACCGCTCCCGCTACCGAATCACCACGTTGGGCCCTCCCAACCTCCTTCGTACAACGGACGGGTACTCCCGTCCGCATCCGGGTACTCCCGGAGTACGAGTCTCCGCCGTCGGGTACCCCCGGCGGTCTCTGACTCTAACCCGGCCGGGTTCTCCCGGCGCCCCGTCGCACTGGACACGGGCTCTCCCGTCTCCAGCTGGGTACTCCCAGCGTGCGAGCTCACCCCGATCGGGCACTCCCGATCGGCCTGACCTGACACCGTAGACCTAAGACCGTAGATGTAAGACCGTAGCTGTAAGACCGTAGACGTAAGACCGTATCTGTACGGCCGAGGATGTAAGGCCGTGGAGATAAGACCGTAGATATAAGACCGTAGATATAAGACCGTAGGGATAAGACCGTGGAAACCAGACCGTAGAGATACGACCATAGGTATAAGACCGTGGAAGGACGACCGGTAACCGCCATTACCCCCCCGACACGCCCCCGAGCGTTTACACCCCTCTGAAGCACACTGTATAACATACACTACAACACAATAAACGTCAACTTACAACACGTCAGTGTCTCGCCGCTTTCTCACCCTGACCCCCGGCGAGCGAATTCCGAGCACGGGAAAAGCGGAACGTTACATGGTCTATAGGGATCCCCCAAGTGCCATGCAAAAGGATTTTTTCTAATACTTAACTTTTCATTCATAAACTTTTGTTCAAAGAAATTGGTCGCTTTGTCCGGATTTTAGCGCCGCACCCTGTATATAACTTTATAGATTTAGACATTGTTTTAAATGT